TACACTAGAATTGGCCCGCGTGTGTATGTTTCCATCGGCGCTCGCTCGACAACAACATGCAGTGTCGGGACGCTCGCTGCTCTTTGTCCATAGAGCTATTACATGCACGCTTCGCATCGAATACGGAAGATTAATTAACATGCATGCAATCGCGGTCGCGAGATTAAGCTGGCCAGCTTACCTTTACTTTGCAGACGCACGAAGACGAAGGGAACAATTCGCACTGCGGGAAAGTCTGATTGTCCTTTTTGTCGCGGATCGCGAATTCGCGCGCACGTGGTTTCGCCTTCGTTGGCGAAATCTCACACACACACTCTTGATGCCGCAGGTAACAATGCCGCTTTTTCGGCTGGCTCAGGTCTGCACGCTGTGTAGTTCGGTGACAATTGTCCTGGACTCTGGTACACGTATCGGCAATTGGTTCGCGAACCTCGACTTTTCTGGCTTCCGCACCGATAGCTGGTTCTCCACTGGTTCGTTTTCAATCACGCGCGTTCCGTCTGCTCGCGTGCCGAATTCCGTCGTTACATTTTTTGTCTAACGGGAAGTGCTGCCCCCGCAGGCAGCCACTAGGTTAGGCAATTAGCGCTAATTTGACGTTTATCGTCACAATATATAATTATTTTTTGACGCACACGTAAACACACACACACACACATACACACACATATATTACCCGAACATCGTGTGAAAACATTGTTTAAATTTTGAAAATTTTTCAAATATGCATTTTGTAACATTTTTGCAAAAAATTCATAATACTCTTCTTAAAGAAAATTAAATTGATTTTTCTTTATATCGATACATCTGCAATACAATTTTTTCAGGATTTTAATGCCGCTGGGCGCATCAAGATACGAAAATTAGAAAAAAGATTATAGAAATTTTTATGCGAATAGGTAAATTTGAGATTAAAATTATATAAATATGTACTTTGAGATTAAAATTATTCTATGCACTTTCATCGGTAATAGTGGACGCAAAGACAAAAAGAAGCGCTATTCAAAGACAGATTCGTAAAAGAGAAGTCAATATTACTTATGCCCGTTGTACCATACTCGCAGTTTTTTTACGATGCAAATTTCCGATGAAGATAGAACACCCTAATGCGGATACCTTTTCAGTTTTTGCCCATGAATAGATTAGACTACAAAGACAATTTTTATACTATAAGGTAAATATAAATACATATGCGTTCGCAAAGTACATAGATCTTCGACTAATTGTAAGAAGATGCACGGGTGTCTATGAAGTTTTAGTCCAACCATGGATTTCTCCGTACGCCCTCCGAAAAGGTAGTCGACGCGAACATATCTGCATCGGTCTCGTGAATTTTGACTCGGTTCAAGTGAAATTTGTGACAACGACGTATCGCTTCATTTTTCGAGTATCGACATTTCAAGTTTCTTCATTGTGATCAACCTATTTTCCATTACTAAAGTACGATTGCACCAAATTTAGTTGAACAACGACAAACGAGCAGGCAGAGCGCTCTGAGGTTAGATGGCGTCGGTATGACACTTAGTTTGGACTCTCGGCTCGGTGCAGGAAGTCACTCTAGTTCCCCTTTATACCGATGTAACGCAAGTGCAGAGAATCGCAGAAAAACTTTCCTGAAACTACACAAGCAAGCTTTTTGAAAATGCCAAATTCTCTCTGACCCTGTTTTCATTTCAATTTTGTTCTGTTAACAGACGCCGCATGGCCGTGCGTGCTGATCACTTTGATGGAGAGGTACTTAGAAATGTATTGGCATAACTTGTAAGCATCGTTAAATTAATTTTTTCTGTTGTAATCTGCTCCTGTCGTTTTATTTTTTTTTTCATTACTACTTCTCGTGTTATTTAAATCATTTCTCGCCTTCTTTTTATCATCACTCCTCGGACTGCTACTTATATCATCTTCCTTTTTATTTTTCACAATTTTTTCATTGCTTCTTCTTGTTTAATGTAAACTATCACATTTATGAGCACTTTTAATGCTGATCACTCGATTTGGTTCGATGACATTAATTTCTACTTTTCGAAGTCACGTCTTGTCTCGACCGTTTTTTTACATTTTCCGTCAGTATTATTTTTTTTATCTTGCACCATCTACTGTGCACTGATAAACCTGACTTTCTTTTAAATATTCGATCACATTTTTTGCACACTATCGACTCACTATGCAATCTTTAAATATGCCCTTTCAGATTGCGAGAGCACATTTCCTTTTGACAATGTGGGCATGCAAGGGATATGCAAACACGATTCCAAGTGTTTTTTCAATAATTTTTTACTCTTAAACTTGGTTTTGCATTTGTCGCATGTGAATATATTATTGCAATAGCGGCCATTCCATAATGCTCGGCAGTGAGGCGTATTCATTATTTCAGGCATTTGAATACTGTGCGAACCAGAATGATCGCAGTGGCATTTCTCAAATGCTCGAGTAGTCGTTAACCAGTTTCTACTTCCCAATTCGATACTTTTGCAAAGGTTTACTCCAGTATTGATTACACAGGTCTACAAAATAAAAAAAGTTTATGCCTATTTGACCAGACCATATAGCTTTTATATATTTCGATGCGAAGAACACGAATTCGAGGTCCATTAATCTTCATCACGTCAGGCTCAAGGTTATTTGAAGATGAAATGTGTTTAATACAACGGAATTTAAAATTTGACTACGGATTCGGTAAGAGCAGGAAATTTTACGTTCAAATACAAATTATTGGTTTTTTTCAACATGACTTTTGAAGGGCACCTGGAGCTCAAACAGATGACAGATAGACCAAATTTGCTTTTGATTCATATGAACTTGTTTTTGAGACGTTCTAAGTGCTTCTATCGTTCATTTTGCAAAAAAAAAAATCATATCTAACCCTAGTCTTTGAACCCTGATTGCTTTAACCCTGGAGGCTTGTAAATCTGCAGGACTATAACCCTCGACCCATCAACTCCCGATCTCCACGTCTTAATTTCTCCAACCCCTGTATTCGATAACCTGCAACTCTACAATCTCCGACTTTCACAACCTAATTTCTCCAACCCCTGATCCCGGTAACCACAACCTCCGACATTCACAACCTAATTCCCTCAACCTCCGAGCCCGGTAACCTGCAACTCTACAACCCCCGATCTTCACAACCTAATTTCTTCAACTCCCGAGCCCGGTAACCACAATCCCCGACATTCACAACCTAATTCCCTCAACCTCCGAGCCCGGTAACCTACAACTCTACAACCCCCGACCTTCACAACCTAATTTCCTCAACCCCCGATACGATAAATTTCGATCTATATAGCGAAAGGCTTATGAGCGTATGACGACGGCTACCGGACGGTCTCGAGGAATTCTATTCTGGTTGTCGCTGGCTGGAGTTGGATATCCGGTGCAACAGCGATTCTGTCCAACAGTCCTTTTCAGAACATTTGGGTATCCAGTGCAGCAGTGGTTTCGTCCAACAGTCCTTTTCAGGATAGTTGCATATCCACAACCGTAACGATTTCTCCAATGCTTATTCAATTATTTTGTATACGATAGAACTTGATTTCAGATCTGCAAAAACGGATAAATACTCAAATAGTTTCTGCGTTATGTGCGGCGAATATAATATCAATAAAAATTTAATTTCTTTCTCCGAAAAACTTCGAAAGACTTACGACGAGTGTTTTAAGATCACTGATATGGATTTGAACCAACTCTGGGTTCCGAAACTTATCTGTCGAGTTTGCGATTCGCTTAAGACGTTGGAAGAATGGAAAGCGACAAATGATTTTCTTATTGACTATGATTTGGCGTGCACCTCGAGATCATAATAGTGGTTGCTATTTTGGTATAAACGGCAAGTGTGAATTTAATTCAAGAAACAGTCGATCTTTGGTTTACACAACTACTTTGTCACAATGTCAGTCTTAGTAAGCGATACCAGTCATGATGAAGATAGAGCAATGGAAATCGATATAAGTGATGAAAACATTGCATAATCTTTGAGTAACACTGACCAAGAAAATGACGAAGAAGATGAAGAAGAAGATGACGCAAAACATGATGAAATGAATGACCGAGAAAGTTACGAAGAAGATGACAAAGAAACTGATTGTAATGTTGGTAAAACGGTTAACCATATAACCCCTTCAAAGTTTGATCAGAATAAACTCAACGATTTGGTAAGAGATTTAAAGCTATCTAAAGCGTAATTTTTTTAAGTTTATTAACCCTATTTTAATGGCTTCCATGCTAGTGGAGTCGTGGTACTTGTCCTTAACAACAATTGAGAAGACATATTTGTTTTTGTACTCGGTTGTTAAAATCTGTCCAATTTTAGGCTTTTGATTCTTCATGTTCCGTAAATTTATCGCTCCGATTTCCTCTAATAACTTGGAGATGGAGGTCTTATTGTCGCAATTCCGTGAAATAAAATTAACAATGTTATTCCTCTTATAAGTCAAACACTGCTGGCTCGTGCTGACATTATTTTGAAGGATATAATTCGCAGGTCCCAACGTTTGATCACCGCTAGTACCCTCGCTACTAGAAGTCGGATTTCGATAATTTTCGGGTCTTTTATATTGATTTAATGATCCCAAGGGTGGGGGTACCATGAGAAACAATTCATCCTCTACAGGTGCTTGTGAAAAATGTAATTCTACCGGCGTTTCGTCTTTCGTAGCTGATTCCTCAGTAATAGCGTTTAGTCCCTTGAATTTCACTACAGGGCGTCGCCCCTGAACCATGGGCGTACTTTTAGCAGTTGGTGCTCCTACCTTTATGCTCAGAGTCACTGAAATTTCTCTATGACGCGGCACTTCCACCTCGTCGTCACGGTTCTCTTTATTGATTTCGCTTGAATGCTCCGTGTGTTGGCTCTGGTTTTCACGTGACACGTCGTTTTCATTGCTATCACTACTCTGTTCAATTTGAGAGGCAACGACCTTTTGAGATTCTTCCACCAACTTTCTGATTCGTCCAGCCATTTCTTCATTAGTATTATTTTCGTCGTCATATGGGTCGAGTTCCTATAGTGTTTCCTGTATTTCTGGAGGCGGTTCGTCACCGTCTGAAAAATGAGAAGGCATTTCTATGGTTTTGTTGTCTTGAGCTAGACCCAAATCGTCCCAAAAGTGCGATACGTTGACCAAGCTCCTATGTCGACATAGACTGGCTTCGAATTTCTCTACCGACGTCCAGACTTCGTCAGGTGTCAGACTGGTCTTTGGTCCCTTCTCTAAATTATCGTCGTCACCTCGACCTGCGCTGTCTGCGTTTTCCTTGGAGATTTCGTCCTCAGGTTTCTCAGAACTTGCACTAGTTTGGGGTCCAGTGATCGGTATTTCAATTAACTCTTCGGTTGTTTCGGATAGGACTTCCTCAGTCGTCGTACGACTTGACTTATTTATCTTCGGGCTCTTCGTTTGGGATTCTTGATCCTCACTTGCTTCTATTTCCGTATCTTTACCTCTCCTTAGTCCGCTATATCGCGGGTCCTCTATGGGAGCCCGGTTGTCTGTACTGTCATGAGCTTCTTTCGCGTCCCTGTCCTCTACACCAGTGGAGGACATCACAAAACGTCTCGAGGAACTGGGCCGTAGTTCGCTCACATCCGGCTCAGTGTCTGACATAATCGAGCTTTGACTCTCTCGGTCCAATCGGTTTAAAATTTCTTGCACGCGCCAATGTAATTTCGGAGAGGTAGCTTTTGGACGATTCGACTTTCGTTTCTCGTCCTCATTTGCATTTTTATTTACAACTATTTCTATTCCGGAAGTACTTGTCACGGATTGATAGTTTTGGTTGGTCAGTCGTTTTCTCTGTTGGGTCTCCTCAATGGGTTTTGTACTTGAGTCGTCTGTGGAAAGTTCCGCTTCGTAATTCTTTAGTTCTTGAACTCTTTTCGACAGCATCTTTTCTTTATCGGCTGGCGCCCAGGTTTTCTCATGTATTTCAGTATTAGTAGCATTTGGGCGAACATTCTTATTGTATTTCGACGTCGTAGTCACAGGCCTTTTACTTCTCGTTCTTTCCACTACAGTGCTATGATCCAGCTGCGGTTTTCCTTTATTCGTTTTGGCTCCTACTGGCCTACCTTTCGGTCTAGGCTCGTTAGATATGGTATGCGCTCTTCTTCGTATCGCTATCGATTGTTCTGGATCTTCTTCGGTCTGTTCTTTAGTGACTTTCCTTTTTGTCACTTTGTTTTTCAGCATCATTACTTGAATTTTTGGTATGTTTTCATTCAATTCTTTCTCTTTTTGTTCCTTTTCATCCAAGTATTCTTGTAAATTTACCGGGTTCCTTGACAGTGCATCGACGTTACAATTCAATTTCCCTGCCTTGTACTTGAAGGTGTATTGATAGTCCGTAAACTTGAACATCCATCTCATAAGGCGTTGTCCAAGGTCCTTACGCGTATGCATATAGTTCAGAGGTTCATGGTTACAGACCAGTGGGAAATTTGTTGCACAAAAGATATGGCCGGAACTGATTCATCGCGTATAAAACCTAGATACACTCTTTCTCAGTGGTCGTATAATTTCTTTCGGGTTTACTTAACAGTCTTGACAAATAAGCTACAGGCCTATCGACTCCATCTTCTTCTTGCGAAAGTACCGCTCCAATTGCGTAATCCGAGGCGTCTGTAGTTAGTGTAAATGGTTTATTGAAGTCCGGGAATGTTAGAATCGGAGCTACACATAGGAGCTTTTTAAGCTTTTCAAAGGCTTCCTCCTGTTCAGCTCCCCAATCGTATTCTTGTCCTTTTTTGGTAAGATCACTGAGGGGTTTGGCGATTTTCGAATAATCTTGAATAAATCGCCTATATATCCGGACAGTCCTAGAAAAGACCTAACGCTTCTCACTCCTTTTGGCCTTGGGAAGTTCATTACAGCTTCGACTAGTTTAGGGTCTGGCTCGACTCCTCGACCACTTACAATATGTCCAAGGAATTTTACTTCCCTACAAAGGAAATTTACCTTGTCGGGTTGTAGAACTAGTCCCGCATCCGATAGTCTCTCAAAAAGTTTTCCAAACTTCACTTCATGTTCATGAAGGTTCTTAGCATAAGCGATTACATCGTCTAAGTACACTAGCATCTCTACATTTACTAGTCTGCGCAGCAATACATTCATCATTCTCTGGAATGTTGCCGGCGCGTTCATCAATCCTTCCGGCATCCTTTTATATTGGAAATGCCCATCAAACGACGAAAAAGCTGTCTTGGGCCTGTCTTCTTCTCTTAAAGGTATTTGTTGAAAGCCATTCGCAAGGTCAAACGTTGAAAAATAAAGGGATCCCCCTAGTTGATCTAATATATCCCCTATATTCGGTAAAGGGTAAGCGTCACCGATAGTTTTTTTATTTAATTCTCGGAAATCGATGACTATTCTCCACCTTGGGGTCCCATCACTTGCCGGGCTTTTAGGTACTATCCAAAGTGGCGAGTTATATGGTGAATTCGATTCTTCTATTATTCCGTCTTCCAATCGTTTTCTTAACGTTTGAAAAATAAATTATCTATGAACGAGAGGGTGCCTATACTGTTTGGTATTTACAGGAATTTTATTTTCAAGATGAATTTCATGTTTTATTAAGTCCGAGCAGGGCAATGGTTCTCCAGGAAGTAGAAATACGTGTGGGTACCCTTTTAATAGTCGCTTAACGCTTTGGAGCTCGCTTGGATTAAGATGTCCGGTCCTAATCAATTGTAAGAGGTTCTTTCCCCTCTTCTTATATTGATTATTGGCCTGCACGGCTACTTTGTACTCCGACACACTTTCGCCTTCAGAGCTGGAAAACTGCGATTTAAACTGCTCGAATGGTAAAATTTCTCTCGGGTCCATTTCAATGGTGACTTCCTCGTTATCATGTGTATTAATCGCCATGATTTTACAGGTATTATTTACATTTGCGACTACTCCCTCTCCAAGAAATACCTTTTCGTCCTTCACGTCAATCCTGGGCAAGTAGCCTTCTGTCAACTCGGTTTTGATCAAGTTAATTTGAATAACTTGACGAGACCTTGGTCCTATGGTGTACCTGACTTTACCGTGACTGACGTCGTCCTTTGCTCGACCGGGCTTAGTGTTACTAATCCCTTCGTTAGCAAGTTGCTCTATCGCATAATCCAGGTCCGAATCAGCTCCAAGTTCTGATATTTCATCGTTTTTTGGTACTATGCGCATAGCTTTGATAAGATTGTCTTGTAAGCGCTCCACAGGTACATTAATAGGTAGAAATGGTATCGGATTCATCAAGTCACTGTTTACCATTAGAGTTCCATTATAATACGATATAACTGCATTCGTGTCTATTAAATAGTCCCTTCCTAGCATGCCATCTTCTTCAATGAGGAAATTATTTCACACTATATGAAATTTAGCAGGCTTGCTATTTATTGTTAGCAATACAGTGCCTAGAGTCGGAACCGTGTGTGCAGTTATGCCACTCACAGTAGTCGACTCTCTTGGGTCGAACCTCGTAGTCCAATGTAAAGCATTAAATTTTATAAGATTTACGGCCGATCCATTTTCGATCATAAATACGGTCCACCGTTTATCGGTTTCGGGTATTCGAAATCTTACTCTTGTAGGCGCATAGATTTTATTATCTTTTGCGCTAGGTCCCCGATCTACGGCAACTGCGACGACTGACTCGGGAGAAACGTCTCCGAATTTTTCAGTATTGTCATCACTTTCGCTGGCGCTACTCTCGGCTTCTCCACTTCCGGCATCTGTCGAACTTCCGTCATCAGTGTTTTCGCCTGTTACTGCCGATGATTCTGAGCCGGGGATGTCTGAGATGGGCCTGCCGCATTCACTCCAGGGCGAGCCCCGTTGGAGTTTAAATTACCAGTATTTCCTCCGAACTACTAATACGGCGGGTTCGGTCTTAACTCGTTGGTTTTCTGTTGTTGGTCATAGGCAATTGCCCCGTATCTTCGTCCCGTAGGATTTTGATACATGTCCGTATCAGGATTGTACAATCGTCCTGGGTGACCGCCATTATCTTGAAAATTTTTATTCTGCTGGCGTCTCCTCCAATTTCTAAACATAAACTGCCTTTGCTCCTGGGACTGATTTTCTGTTATTGAGGCTGGCTCTCTTGGTTCTGATACTGATTTTGCTGTCGTTGATTATTCTGGTAAAATCGTCCATTCTGGCGTTGGATAAAAATTGTTGGATTTCCGCGGGTAACTCTTCCTATTCTTCGTAATATGGTTCCTCAGCTTCAACTTGCTGATCCTGAATATAGCTAACGTTAAATCCACGGTTTATCGACAGCCACTTACTCATATTAAGGTCCGTATTTTTCGGCTTATTCTTATTCCTAGTTTCTATGCGAAGGGCTTCCTTGTAAGGGCTTCCTCAGGAGACTTCGGCTGCTTAATATCGACTAAGTCCCCGATTTCTTTTGGGAGCCCATCAATAAAGGTTTTAATTGTGGAATTCTTTATCGGGGTCACCATAATATCGCTATATTCAACTCCAAGTTCTTCTTTCAGCGCATTCTGTGCGCAGTTTAGTAAGATATTGATACGGTCGAGAAAATCTCCGACCGTGTCCCCATTTTTCATTCGCAAATTATGAATTTTCGAATCATAATAAGAGAAGTCCTTGCACGGGGCAAAACGCTCCTTGAGTACTTTAATTAGTCCCTTGGCAATATTTACGGTTTTACCGTAAATGTAATCTCTCGCTGGTCCCCTTAATTTCGCTATGATCAAGCGAATAAAATTCGCTTCTTGGGTATTAGCTATAAGTGCCTTTCCGTTACGGATGTCCTGAATAAAGTCTTTTAGGGGAACATTTTTCCCATCAAATTCCGTGATCCCTTGCACAATATTTTGCAAAGTAAAACTTGCTGACATACTAGTTAGAAGATTTAAAGTCGCTTGTTCAGTTGCCATGGTAGAAAGACTTTATTGTTTCTTGGAGTCAGATGGTAAGAGACAAAAATACACGAGAAAAAAATATAAATAAATAAGACGCGATCACTAAATCACAAGCAAAATGATTATATAATATAAAAGTAAATAATTATTATTGCTAAGGGGGAAAACAAAATTCGATTAAGGATGATAATAATATTCAAATAAAATTTACACAAAGTAAAAAAAAGGAGTAAATTTAAATCCACAAGTCCAAAATTACCGTAATTTGAATCGTTATTTTAATCTGACCTCCCCTACAGGAGTGAATAATATAAATTTCTAACGAAGTATAAGATAATAAAACTGAGTAAAGTTGCAAATAAAAATTCTATCGGTCGCTCCCCATTAGATAAAAGTGTCGGATTCCTACTAATCCCATCTAAACCTTTCACTAATCCTTATCATTTAAAAGAAATAAGAGAAGAGTGAAATTAGTTAGTCCAAACCACTTATCAACAAATAGAAAAAAAAACTTCACCTTCATAAAAGGATTAAAACAAAAGTACTTAGCGAAAGTAATTAATTCAATTAAAACTAAATAATAGATAGGTGACCACAAAACCTCTAAGTTAATTTTGTTAATATTTGCAAGATAATTAAAAAGCACGAGGAATTCACTCGAAGAGGATAAAAGAAAAGAAAAAAAAACTCAGTCAGCAAAAGAAATTCGAGGGTGTTCAAATTTCCCGCTGACTTCAGCGAAGTCAAACGCGTGAGAAAGATCGAAAATTTCTTCCTCGCCAAAGCTCAAGTTATACGGCGGAGGAAACGCTTCAGGTTTCAACTCCACGTACCGTTCCAAAAAAAAATTCCAGAGCTAACACGTTTATATATATATAAAAAAAAATACGTATCAATAAAATTAAGAAAGGACACAATGATTTATTGGCAACTAATCGAAGGCACAAAACCATGCTCTGCTACCATTTGTTACGTGACAGTTTTGATGTTTTTTCAAAACGGCCACGTGTTAGACCGTTTTAGCTCCGAGTGGTCCTGACTCGGGAGAATTGAACCTTCGGTACGGTATCCCGACCGTCTCAGCGAATGGATCGCGTATTTGCCGACAATGGCCGAAATTCGTCCACGCGAGGGATAGGCGCGAGTAATGGGTGAGGGGGGGGGGGGGGGCTCGCTGGATTATTAAAATGAAAATACACGGGTACATAAGATAGATTTATATATATTTAGATACATAAGATAACATGTCTAGTAGTGATACCTCTATCGCGTTACTATCTAATTCACGATTTATTAAATAAATATTCTAAAATACGC